CGAGGCGAAGGTCTTACCTACCAGGCTCTGTGCTGACTGACGAGGGGGGCTGGTGTTCTGAAAGTCTAAAACGGCTGTACAGGTTCATGGATGTCTGGGGCATGCAATCTGCTGCCCTAGGAAGCCGCTCAGTTTGGCTGGGGGGTTAGCTCTAGGAAGGCTCTTGATTGTTCCCAACTTCTTCCATTTAAGAATTATGGAGCTCACTGTGTTTGTGGGAACCTTCAAAGCTCCAATACATTATTGTAGCCTTTCCCAGATCTGTGTCACAGTCTTGTATCTCAGGTCTGCAGGCAATTGCTTTGACCCCATGGCTTGGTCTGATATAAATTGTGAACCGTGTGACCATTATAAAACCAGCTGTGTGTCTTTCCAAATCATCACAAATCAATTCAATTAACCATAGGTTTCATTTAATGATCAATAAAAACAAGATGAACCTGTGCTAATTTACAAGTGTCATAGGAAAAAGGCTGAATACTTATGTTAATGTGATTAATTTTTAAAAAAATTTGCAAAAAATTCTAGAATTCTGTTTTTGCTTTGTGGTTATACGGTATTGAGTGTATAATGAGGAAAAAAAATATTTTTGATTTTTAACATAAGGCTGCAACAATAGTGACGGGACCTGAATGCGCTACAAGCAAAGAAGGGTAAAGACAAAAGAAATCAAGTTTCATAAAATAAATCAAACACTCATGTTGCATCAGATTCTTTATTTATTTTGAAATCTATGTTTTTGCAGAACAACCCGGAAGTAAAACATTTAACTGGCGTTTTTCTGCCAGACTAACCTGTTTTAATAACTTTGGTCTATGGTGAAATTATAAAACACCATGATTCGGTTTTGTAAAAACTTTTATAAATTGCATGTAATAAATATTGTAATGTTGTGCCAATGATTTAGGTTGGGTTTCAAGGCAGAAAAATGCAGAGAAAACAAAAAAATTAAGGACAATACAATATGTATATTGAATCATAATGCGAAGAAGCACACAAGTGGAGATTTTGGCACAATATTTTTACCTGAATACTGTTAATGAAATTTTACATCAGACCCTTTGCATTTCTCTTTATCTCCATCAGGTTGTATGTTTTTGTCAGAGCACTTGTCAATAAACTTATACATGCTGCACATCATTAGCAGTTTTAGAAAATACTAGAATAAAACTGAAAATACAAAATATATAGCTGAAAAGACATGGTGGGTTTGACATGATCATATACTGCATACTACTTTCCAAACTTTGTTGGTATAAAATATCAGAAACCCCCCCCCCCCCACCCCCCACACACACACACACACACACTTCCACACAGACCAGTACTCGTATCTCTGTGGGGACTCTCCATTCATTTCTATGGGGATAACCCTAATCCTAACCCTAACCCTAACCCTAACCCTAATCCTAACTATGACAACCTTAACCCCTAACTTTAGCATCAGTAACCAAACAAAATACAAGACTTTAGGCATTTTTAGTTTTTTGATTGCACGCACGCACACACACACACACACACACACACACACACAGACACACTTCGCCAGGGACCTTCAGACGTCCTCGATAAAGAGCAAAGGAGCACCCATATACGTGTCCTTGTCATCATCCTCCTCCAGCAGTTTCTCCAGGGGCAGACTGTTCCCTGCCTGCTCCCGCCGCTGCAGCTCCGGCACCGTGACGGCCGTGGTGGGCGGGGCCAAGAAGGGGGCTGTGCAGGGGGGGCACTGGGCGGCCGCCGTAGAGAAGGTAGCCAAGGGCTGAGCCCATGGTAGGTAGGTCACTGAGGAGTCAGGGAGATCCAGCTGAGGCAAGGCCGAGGATGGGGGGGGTCTGCTCTGTGGTAACAAGCAAAAGGATTAATAAGGTCTATTCAGAGTTTACACTACCAGTTAACTTCAGTGTAGTGAATATAATCAACCGGAAATATCCATAGTGCACTTTCATCAAAGTACCATTTCATATTTATTTTATTTGGTAAAATTTCTCATATAGACAGCAGCAATGACCCACTCTGGAACGTTCTGATAAGGACCATGGAAACGGCAGCGATACTCACAGCGAAGTTGGTGAACAGAGGTGTGTGCGTGTACGTCAGCACCGAGGGCGGCCCCACCACGGTGTAGCTGGGGCACATGGGCTGCACGTACATGTCACTGGCGTAGGCCGACCCACCGTGCTCAGTGGGCAGGTACTCCGCGCACGGCCATGGGGCCACGGACTGCAGAGTCGTGGGGGCAGGCTGTGCGATCCAGCCTGAGCACGCTGTCCCCTCCTCCACTGCCAGGGAATCAGGGATGATGGAACCAGCCTCAGAAAGAGTCACTGGTGCTGATGGAAAGGATACCAGTGCAAAGCGCTTAGCCGGCCCCTTATAAATAGTGTGTGTTCAACATGAACAGATGCTTGCAAATTCAAATGAGTTTTATATGTAAATGTGTGGAAAACATCAAATGAGACTGCAGTGTTTACCAGTATCAGGAACAAGAATCAGAAACACTGGGAAACTCACCAATTTGGGGATATGATGAGAGTACAGTGTTTGGCACAACCACCTAGAATCAGAGACTTACTTAAGCTTGTGGCAAATTTGCCTTGGATCAGCAGAAAGAGTTAAGGACTTATTATTTTTTCATTTAAAGAACACAATACATACTTAGTCACATGATACAGTGCATGTGTTTACTGAGAATATCAAATGTGCACCCAGTTCTGTTTTAGTGCTGTGCAGGAGAATAAAAAGAATTAGGTTCTTGAGTTTCACCTGCCAGGAAACAGTGAAAATTGTTTGTTCAAAAATAATAATCATCAGTGTGGACAGTGTCGCTACCATCAGTGTCTGAGACTGAGTGTCAGAACAAGTTTGCCTTTAATCAATAGTCGGTTTAAGCCATTTCTGATTAATTCCAGGTTATTGACAGATCTGTCTGCTACTCTGCAACTGGAAATTCGAGGATTTAAGAAACATTTAAAGGGTTTCTAGATGAGGGCATGAAATATTGAAATATTAAGGCCTTGTTGCCACCTACTATTTTCAGATCTCTACACTGGAAACTCTAAACTGGAATGCAACTTTAGAAGGTGACCTGTTATGATGGTCATGTGACATTGTTTATGAGCGATAACTGAAGGACTGCAAGAACCCAAACTCAATGCAGCCGACCAAGTAGTTTGTGTCAGGAAATGCCATGTCATCCCGGAAGTCTCCATGCTGGTATATCAAAGTGCACGACCACGTCCTCCACCCGCTCCTAAGCTTCCCCAAGCTGCCCGCTTTAATGAGATGTCCATAAAATATTTTGGCCTCTTTGGGTCTGTGGATCTGGGCAGCTTGGGTGTCTGGTGGTGCCTACCCGAGGACATCGGGGAGTTAGCAGCAATGGGCTTTGGCAGGGTAATGGCATGATTTGCATTGGCTCTGTGCCCAGCCCTGCAGCAACATGAGGGAAAGGTTTAAACTGACATGGAAAAACACCTGGACTACATAAGGATAACCCCCTTCCCCCAATCCCCCCTGCCAACACTCTGTGGTTTGTTAGGGTGTGAGCCTGCAGCTCTCTCAGACAACGCATCATTTGAGGACTGGCATAATTATGAGCTGTCCCACAGCTCTCCTACGGTCCTCGAGTACAAATCAACCAATCAGCCAAGCTTTTCTCCCCACTTTGGGGTCACTGACTCGCATCGCACGTGCTCATTGGTACACAGACACCACATCCAGATGTGGAATTGCTAGTGGTATCCGAAATGACCAGTCACCCCGACATCCTGGGTTTCTTCCTCACATAGCTTTTAAAAAAACTTCATTTGTTTTGCATTTTGATTCCAAAAGGAATGAGTGGCAAGGAAGCTTCTAGAAGGTTTGAGTGACGTGTCAGGGCTCTTTGTATGTCCTCACCGCTGTCGCAGGTGCAGGCTTGGCGCTGTTCAGGTCATTTCCTCTTTTCCTCCTCAGAAGCTCTTTGACGGGATCTTTGACCCTCACCCCCTGGTAGGGTTTGGAACTCGTCCGTTCAGCTGATGCTGCTGCACAACATGTGACACAAGAGCACACTGCTGAGGCCAAAGGCTTCATCACATGCAGGGCATGTGGCAAACTGCTCACATATACATTCAGAGAGTGACCACTGCTTCTAGCCTATAGTACAGCTCCCAGTTTCACTGGTATAATTTAAATCACAGTGACCTCTAATGCATGCAGAAACCAAACATGTTGCATGCCTGCATCTGTAAACAGAACAATGTAAAATGCACAAGTGTCTTATAGGTACAATCACAGTGGAACGTCACCAAACTTTTAATTTCCCTAAGACTGCGTTCAAATGTTTGTGCACAGCCAATTAGGTGGGAATGTTCATACACAACATTAGCAGAAGGATTCAGTTTGACCAGCTGGTGCCTGTGATAGCCAACAACAGCACAGTTTGAATTCCAGTTATGATGCCAAAATGGAGGGAAGTACATGACAATGGAACTGGGACTCCAAGGAGGTTAATAGAAATTGGTCCATGTACCCCTCCTTTCTGATTCATAATTATCCACCGCAACCAAACAGGCCCTGCCATCCAAATAGGACTCACACTCATGCTAAGGACAGTTCCAGACACTCCAGCCAAGTTTGGCACTCTATCTAATAAACTTTCATGATCAATAATATCAAACGCTGCAGTGAGATCTAAAAGAATGATACTTTTCCTCAATTGGTATTTATGCGAATGTCATTCAGGTCCAACCAGTTTCAGTGGTATGATATGCTCGAAATCTTACTTTTAAAAAGTGACTAAGCTGATTGTAAGCAGCTCTTTCAGCACTCTTGCCAATAAAAGGAAGATTTGAAAAAGGTCTGTAATTGTTCAGAAGGGAGGAATCGAGACTGCGTATTTTCAACAGAGGTGCAGTTTTTAAGATTTTGGGAAATGCCTAACAGCAATGAGGTATTTACATTCAGCAGGCTGGCACAAAATCAAGGCAACACATAGTAGATTGGAGACACTACTGAGGCACATCTGGCCATAAATGAAACAGGCAATCTAGGGCAACAGCACTGTTAGTACACACAGGTGTGTTTGCTTTGACCCCAAAGCTGTTAAACCATGACAAATTTGTGCATCATGAACACTTCATAAAACCTTTTGCTTTCTTGTTATATGGTGAATTAGTTTCTGTACATTTTACATCAGTTAAGTTTCCAATTCTGTTGCAGAATTGAAAGCAACTCAAGTGCAATAAATCTAGATTAAGTCTTATCAGCCTAGATGGTGTTTATCTCTCTTTTTAACCATTTTGGGTGACAGTTTACACTTTAACTAAGACACAAATAAGTACACTAAGACACTCAACAACATATCATGCATTAATGTAGTTACTGCAAGAAATACATGAACCATCATATCTTATTAATGATGAACTTACATGGAATTAGTACGTAACTAATACTTACTGGTTAATTAATTCATTGAGTAAGAGTGATGTACTGCTACTACATTACTTGTTCTGCCTCAAGTAAAGTGTTACCCCCTTTTGTTAAAGGTTTGGCTGTGAGGTGCACAGGAGTTGGGATTACAGGCCTATCATTCTATGAACTTACTTCAAAAGCTTATTTCACTCTTTGGACCTCTTAGTTTGCAGATAATGTTATTATGAATGACTGAAACAAAAACAAGAGACACGAATTAGAGAGGTGTCCATTAAACACATGATGAGGATACAACCACTTCACATTTTCATCAGTTCATCAAAACAATGTTCACTTATGACCGCAGTCATGGTCACACCAATGTTGACGTAGTCTAGAGCAGGTCATGTGATTCCTTAGCATGCAATACCCTGGTAGAAATGTAATAATATTTTAAATAGACCTCTTTTAGAAGTAATTTGCTGAGAATTGATTTACACTGTTTAAGACGTTTAGGATGACACGGTACATTCAGCAAGGTAACACTTTACTTGAGGGGCACAAATACAGTTGCTACTCTGTTGCTACTGAAGAACAAATCATGAACAACTGCAGTAGATACTTCAGATAAAAGATGTATCATGATTCATTAATGATGAATGAACATGAGATCAGTATGTACCTGATTTAATTTGTGCATAATTAATACATAAGTAATGGCCTATTACTACATTGTTTGTTACCCCAAGCAGTAGCAGCTTCCAAAAGACATTTCTACCCCTATGTAGAACTGCCACCATTGACTTGAGACATTATAAGTTCCTGAATTCACATGTCATGGACCAATGAAAGAGCAACAGTCAGGGACTTTTGTCAAAGAAAATCACTGAGGTCACTTAATAATAATAATAATAATAATAATAATAATAATAATAGATACTTCATTGATCCCCATGGGGAAATTGTCTTTACGCCTCCCTCAACTCGCTCTTTGTAGAGCAGGGGTGTCGAACTCCAGTCCTGGGGGGCCGGAGCCCTGTGTAGCTTAGCTCGTTCCCAGTTCCACCACAAATTAATCAGCTCAAATGCTGTGTGGTATTTAGCACAAGGAGGTGCAAGGACCTGAATCAGGTGTGTTAAATGAAGGGAAACCTAAAAATGTGCAGGGCTCCAGCCCCCCAGGACTGGAGTTTGACACCCCTGTTGTAGAGTAAGTTGACTTCCAAAAGTATGTAGTAATGAAAGTAATAAGAGAATAAAATTTGAAACTCATAGATTATTCATTTATTCTCCCAACTGTTTTAATACTCAGGAGCCCCAAAACAACAGTATATTAATGTAAGGATGCAAAGGAATTACATGACACATGTTCAGAGACGCCCCAATTCAGGACTAAGATAACACAGACAGGCTGGGAGTGCAATTACAGACTATTCCAGAGAAAACACAGTAAGGATTCCCACAAACTATTCAGTAACATCTGCATTTGCTGTGCTCTGTTAGCTCAGGGCTCTAAAATGGTTGCACTAACATGCACTTCCATGTTTGATTCTACAAGCCATTTTTTGTCTGGGCCAATCATCCAAGATCTTAGGAAAACCCCCTTTCGTGTTTTTTATTATTTTTTTTAAACGAAAGTAACGCTTGTTAAACCCACCAAACCAGCCCCAAGTTCACATCTCAAACTGATGAAGACTCTAACAGCTAAGCCTCTTCCTGTAATACAATCTTTTTAAACCCTGAACATCACACCCACACGGGCAAGAGGTCTCAACATACACTCACTGATACATGCCCTCACGGCCACTCTTCCATGTTTATAAAACCCCTCATGTATAAAGTTCTCAGCACTAATGGTGCGGTAGAGTTTGTCATATGTAGTAAAGACATGTCCTCCTATGTTTTTCGAATAGCTTTTTGTTTTGTGTCAGTATGACAGCATTTTCTACATGCTAGAAATGTATTATAAATACTATATTTAGCATATCTAGTCTAATTCTTATGGTCCTGAGTTGCGTATTATATTATTTGCTCTTTGTCCCTTTCTCCCTGTGCCCAGCCATACGGCATTCAGACACCGGCTAAATGCTCTGTTTCATGCTTTAGATGGATACACCAACCCTCAAATTCTGAGAACCTTTAACCACATCCATGGCAAAGCCGTCTGTGACGGAGTGGGGGGGGGGGGTGTGCGTTCTACATTACTCAACCAACAGGGTTTGTGTTGCTGAACTCATGGAATAAGCCTGTCAGAAAGGTCTGGGGTCTTCTGCGTGTGTGAGCCTAGGGAGGCTGCAGTGGAAACTGGAGCTCCCACAATCCTAAGAGGAGTACTGAGTGAAAGTTTAATTGAGTGTGACATGTTCCTCCCCCCCCCCTGCATACGAAACTTGCAGAGGCCTGAAAAACTAACGTTGACAAACAGGACAAAATGTGAAATGAAAGTAGGTACTGGCTGATTGTTATCAAAAACTCATCTAACGGTTTAAAGGCTCCCATTATGAATGACAGAGGAGAGGCAGAGCCACTACTGCAAAGAGGTCATCACTGTTTGTTTACCAGCAGCCAAATTCTCCTGCTAACATCCTCAATCAGCAAGTGCCAGCACAGTGTGGCTTTAAGTGCAGGATAGACACTGTAGTTATACCTGTGAGCAAAGCACTGGAAAAAAGCATAATCTTTCAGCTGACATGGAATAAAAAGACAATGTTCTTGGTAGTCATCAAGTAGGTCTTCAGAACATCTACTGAAGACCTTCTCAGTGAAGACCAACCTATCTGCCTCTACTTCAGGAATTTCATTTTCTCATATCTGGATCACGTTGATATAGATTCTGTATATTTGTCTCCTGTACTATATAATTATGTGTTGACACCCTTAACCCCTACCCAGTCATAACCTCAACCATAAGTAACCAAACAAAATGCAAGAATTTTGGCATTTTCTAAATTTAATGATTATACCCAAAGATTCTTAAATAATTGAGTTTCGCCTTGTGGGTACTGACACAACGTCAAAATAACAGGTTTTTATCACATTGTGGGGATATTTGATCTGCACAATGCGCTATATACAGGGATGGACATAACTGGTAGACAAGTACGCATTCACCTTTAAAAACGACACCTGTGACAATCGATTGTGGTAGCAGAGTAAATGTGAACTTATTTTATGTGCATTTTCACTGATATGAAAACAAAATATAATGCATTTTAATCTTTATACGCTAACTCTACTTTATTTGCGGTATACAGGTTAAAATGCAAGGTATTTTCTTGCCATAGCAGTGCAAATGCACATAAGATAATACATAAAACAATCCATTGTTGCACATATTTTTAAAGGTGAATGCGTACTTGTGTACCAGTTATGTCCATCCCTGTATATATAAGTAACCTACACACACACACTACCAGCACACACACACACACACATGCCACGCGCACAGACACATACACACACAGGGCACACACACAGACTTACACATGCACATAAACACACGCACACACACTACCAACATACACGCACACGCCACGCGCACAGACACACATACACACACCACATGCACACACACAGACATGCACATGCACACACACTCACACACACGCCACGCGCACAGACACACACACACACGCCACACGCAGACATACACACGTACACAAACACACGCACACACGCCACGTGCACAGACACACACACGCCACACATGCACACGCAGACATACACACCCATACACACACATGCATTCTTGCAGAGCTTCAAAAAAAAGAGGAAGGTCAGGGGGCAGAAACAGGCACACAGCTGCGATGGGCTACAGGCCTCAGTAGCCGTTGCTCAGCTTTGCATATCAAAATTAATATGCTGCCATAAAGGACCAACCAAAAAAACTGCCCTGATGGTATCTTGGTCCTATCGGTCACTAAGATACTTAATTGGTAGAACCTTCTTATTGGACATTTTTGGTATCAACTTAGATTCGTCTTTAGCGGGTTGGTTTAATTATACTTGTCCTCAGGCACTAAAACAGCAATAAGCTAAGAATTAGACAGGCTGGTTTCAGTGTTTACTTGCTATAGCCTGTGAAATGGTTAAGCATCGGGATATTTACATAAGAAAGCACACTTCCTGCAAATACCTTTTACCAAACATTAAAGAGTTTCTCATGTGTGGTATGGTTCTCTCAGGAAAATCTCAAACCACACGTTTCTCGGCTGCGCTTTGCCTTACTTCTCCTCCTTTCCAGCGGCAGAGAGGAGCTACAGGTGGCTTTTCAGAGCCACAGATGAGAGAACAGGCACATGTGGCTGTCGCCCAGCAACGTGAGAGATGTCACTCTGTGGAGAGCATCCCACCTCACACTTACCACGTCGATCATCACAACCCTCACCTACGAACCATCAAGTAGTCAGCAGAGTGGAAAAGTCTTGTTTGCTTATCGGTATGCCACTTCCCAGTCCAGCCAAAATCTGCCTATTAAATAGATGATTGATTCTACTCTTTGACATTGAGAGAGTTGTACCGCAGTGTGGATGCCCACTTAATGTTTTTTCAGTGCAGATTATACTGCAGAGAAATGTAGATTCCGTCCGGCTTGAGTCGGGCATAACCATATGCTTATCACAGACAGCAGAATGCAATGTCGTCTTCAAGGAACAAACATTTTGTTTCAATATCTAATTTCATTATACTGCATGACAAAAAAAACAATGTTTCTTCATTACATTTGTTTTATGTAAATCGACCTTTTTCTTTTCAGAGAAATGTTATACATTTCAGCCGTGGTCTTTAACAATTGATCTGGATGCGTGAATCTGTCTAGTATTTAACATACCACCCTTGCAAATGACTCCACCGTCAGTCAGGTACAACTTGAGTGATACAAATTTCCCTCCAAAAATTGGATTTGTAACCTCTTTAATGAATATGAGATTGAAAAATAAAAGGAATATGAAAAAGCCCAGTTTTCTTTACCTTTGCTCCAGTCCCAGTATCATTTGTTTCATTATAAAATATACAAACATTATTGAGATTATTTTAACCCTAACCCTTAAAAGTTTTGGTGACCCATTTAAAGTTGATCATAAAACAATAAAAAGATAAATATGTTAATTACATCTCATGTATGACTCATTGTCTGGAGGATGAAACAACTATGGAAAAAATGTATTGATTCAATTCTGTTCAATTCATCTACTGCACAACAAAATAATGAACAAATGAGTCACCAAAAGGTTTACAAAGAAAAAAAATGTCTCCGTTGAGTGTAGCTAAGAAAAAGGCAGCTGACATCCCAGTATACTCCCCAGTACACCCCGGTATACTCCCCAGTACACCCCAGTATACTCGAGCTCATGCTGTCCGCATGGCTGCATGCTTTTCAACAGGTGGAAATGGCTCATCTTCATCATTAACCTCTCATCAGCAGACTCCCACAAATATAACGTCCAAAACACTAAGCCCCCTCCCCCTCCCCCTCCCAAGGGCATGTAGATGTAGAATATTGCAGTAGGAAATTACAATTACTGCACACTGAGTTCAGTATAAAATGGATCATTAAAATGTGACTACTTCACATAATCATTTTTGTATTTTGTTTAGGATTAAATATCTTCTGCCTTTTTCTTTTTTTTTCTTGTGCGTTTAACAGCACTGTGTAACTTCTCCAGAAGGAACTTCTCCAACCTTCGAAGAGAACCTTTATTCTCCTGAAAGAAGCCTCGGACAGCATCTCAGTGTTCATACACCTGTCAGTTCAAGAAGCAGTAGCTTCAAAACAATCATGTACTTACATTTTTCCCAGTGCATATTCTGCTCCTGGTGGCTCCGTGTCTTATTAATGCCCCGCAGGAATAATCACATATAGGCTGTGACTGCAAGGTGAATATTCTCGATGAGCGATTCTCTCGGCCGCTTTTTATGTGCCAAAGATGAAACCTCAAGTGATGTCACTGTATTCCAACCACAGCTGTGTTCCCCTGATGATTAGAGCCTGAACACCAATACAGAAGAGGATGGTGTCACACACCCACTCACCAGCACAAAGACCCAGACCCACACTGGTGCTATGGGGCGACCACAGATTGGCAATAGAATAGAACTTCAAATATAACATCAAATTGTTAAAATTTTCCACAATTTTAACAATTCTGGAAAAGGCAATTCTTATGAGTGATGACAAATCTTGTAGATGATTGGTCAGTCAGATCAAAGTATTCAGATTTACTCCAGTAATAAATCACAAATTCATTACTAACTTGTGAAAAAGAATGTTTTTTTAAATAATTAAAATTTAAAATTGAATAAATTAGAAAAGGCTAAATGTAGCGATGTCCATCCGTTGCCATGTCTTTCATCACTCATTCTGGTTCACCTATGGTTCTGTTAATAAATACAATGTTTATTTTCCTGCACTAATTTTTTCTCCACGCCGTGAGGCCCGGTAGCCTCCATGTGCTCTCCATTGCTTTCTGAATACGTTATTGCCAAAATGACTAATCTACCAACCACAGAGAAGTGATATGTGACTTGGGGGGGGGGGGGGGCAGTAGGGTGGCTTCGGTTGCCTGGTTCTCCTGCCTTCGCCTTGGGGGTGGGGGGGGGGGGGGGTGCTCCACCCCAGCTTGCATTTTCTGAAGGGGGGGGTGCTCCACCCCAGCTTGCATTTTCTGAAGGGGGGGGGGGGCTCCACCACAGCTTGCATTTTCTGAAGGGAGGCTGTAAGAATATTTTATGACCTCAGCAAGAAGGAAATGGGCAAGAATAAGGGATATTTCAGCATAAAATCTCCCTCACAAAATGTTTCAACTGAAGTGAAAGGTAAGTAGTTCATCAAAGATGCACTTAAATGAATCCCAGGCAGCCCCCACTCACAATACCATGAAGCTCCTAAGTAAACTAACACACGGTGTTTAAACTCAGTTCACCAAAGATCAGTTGTTTGGTGTGTCACTATTTATAATAATATTTTGTCACCTTGTGACACCTCTGAAAAGCCTGCCAATTACAGCCAGTACCCAGCTTCCTTGGACACATACCCAAAGCAATGAAGGGGGTAAATTTTAAAAATAAAAGGCCGCTTAATTTATTTTTAATCCCTATAGGCGGATAGTTACATGAACGGAAACACATTGGCCCATTAGACCAGACAGCCATGAGGCGTCATTTCAGAAATCTGGAGTTTGGCTTCCCTGATTCTGCAAAGATTATTTTAGACAGCGGCCGAAAGCCGAAGCAGTCGCTCTATCAGTGTTGGAGCGGAAACACCTGTGTGCTGGTTCATCGATCACCATGGGCGCTCAAGTCGCTGAGCATGTGTTTGAAAAGCTTGTTTTTGAAGACAGCATTTCCCGCACTCTTACTGCTGACTTAAAATGTTGTTTCATAAAACTTTCATAAACTTCATAAAAGTTTCCACTGAAAGGATATTTAAGCAAAAGTAAAGTTCCCATGGTACACAACCTCCACTCTCCCGCCTACTAGTCTCTGCCTATTTGGGTTTCCTTGGACTGACTCCTGTCACACAAACTCACCGATGTCTCTTTTTCTCTGACTCTGATGTTAACTGCATTCCCTTAAATTCGCAAAACCTACAGCTTTAGTAAGTATAGACATGCATGCAAAATTAACAGCCATATTATAGCACATAAAGCAGTATTCTATGTGGCTCATATCTAAATCAAAACATAATTCATGACTTCACTTGTGGCCCAGAGTCAAAAGAATATTGTGCCGATAGAGAGACATGACTTGCTCCAGAGAAGCCTTGCTATTTAGTGCTGCATACTTACTACGGTTGTGGGTGAGTCCTCACCATCGTCACAGAGTGTTCGGGCCTCACAGTGGTCGTGCCTCTCACCAAATCTCTCCTCGTGTGCCGAGGCTCTACAAAGCCTGGGCGCATTCAGTGGGCAGATGCAAAGGAGCTTCAAGCCTGGGGATTTTTATGAGCTGCTCATAGCTTCAGAGAGACCTTCAGCTGAGACACACACATTCGCCAGAGCAGAAAGCAGCACTCACAAGTCTATCCTAAGGTGTTGCACACTAAAGACAGTGTAGTGCCACCTGAAGAGTCTGGAAAGAACTCACCGCCATCACAGTGAAAACATGCAAATCCCCCTCGATCGAAGAGCTGAGGTCAAAGGTGAGGCCACAAAAGCTGAGGACCGAGTCAGCAGTGCCCTGAGGACCGAGTCAGCAGTGCCCTGAGGACCGAGTCAGCAGTGCCCTGAGGACAGAGTCAGCAGTGCCCTGAGGACAGAGTCAGCAGTGCCCTGAGGACCGAGTCAGCAGTGCCCTGAGGATCAATCAGCCTGCCTTCAGGTACAACATGTCTACTGTCTCTGCCTTTGACATACTGAGTGCTCCAACTTGATTCTATGCTGTATCAGATTTTGCCCAACGTATAACAAGTTTAGCGCATTTCTGAGTACAGCTTTGGGGGGTTAATTTTATATATCTCTCCTTCCCGTTTGTCTTGCACTTCTTACTGGTCAATCATTGTTAGCTCAACCTAGTGGCACTTGCACCTAAGTTGGCTCCTTGACCGCTGTATGCTTGTCAATCTTTATTTTATTTATTCATATAGCACAGTTATAATCTAAAAGGCATTAAAATAGGTATAACAATTAGTACAGAAATTAGCACAAAAAAAATAAAATAAATAATAATAATAATAATATACCACCAAAAACATGAGACTTTAAGCACCCACGTTCTCGGTAGGGGACTTTAGACCCCCCTCACTGGTTCCCGCGCAAGAGGACACAGACCCCTGTCGCACTGGGACTCAAACCCAGTGTCCTCTGGGGAACTCAAACCCGTCGACAAAGAAGGGACTGGAACCCTCCTTCTACTTATGGCACACAGATACTATCTGCCTGACTTGTATGTCACATTAGACAGAAGGTTCTGTTGAATGAACGTAAAAATCTAATCATGTATGTTTCGGGGGAATGTAGGATGTCATGACTGACGAATGAAGCGCAGCACAGACACAGCCGCCTAAGGGCCTTTGATAGGGTGACAAAGCTGCATGGGACCCTATGTTGTTTTTAGCAAAGCAAAGCAAAGTATACAGGTACTATTGAGTTACACATCTTTAGCCGCTGAGGCACCTGCTCAGCCATACCATCCTCACAGCTGCATGCCTACTGAACCATCACGCAGTCACCCGCAGCCCTACACTCACGGTTCCTACTTACAAACAACTGCACCGCCCACTTTTTTCAGCAAAACTTGAGAACAACTCAAGCTTGAATCGATAACTGTCCTGGGACGTTGCATCGACAATGGCTACAGTATCTAAGAAACAAAGCTTTGACAAGCGGTTTTTTTTTAATAAGAGGCATGAGGAAATCAGCAAATAAAACTTCATCGGGACAAGAACCACAGAACAAGTGAGATGCACTGCACCACATGAGTTGTCCTGTGTTATTTATGGATTGCCGAAGACATTGGCCCTCTATATGTGAGATTCTGTGTGGACACTTCTCAGCCAACACTGGGGACCAGGCAGAGACCATTCGGCACTTGCAATGTCAGCAAACGGGGGTTTGACTACAAAGTGTATGAAGGACAGCAAGTGTGAGCCCTCCTGATTTAGGGTTAGACTTATCGTCCAGCTGACACTACTGAGAATCTGAACTTGTGTGCAGAACGGGGATTTTTGGTTATAGTTACCAGAGAAAGGGCTGACCAAACCAGATGTGGGGAAGGCTTACCAATGCAAATGCCTTCTCTGGAATGCACGCCTTTGGTTGGAATCTCCAATGCATGTTGTCGTGCTGTGAAGCCACGCCAGATCAGTCAGGCCTGAGTGAATCATTGAGAGGCCGACGACATGGTGCCTTCACGTCTAACGGTGGACAATGTACTTTGTGCACAGTGTCATGTCCTCGGGTCCGGCTTCCTCCGTTTTCCTCCAGTTCCTCCTGCATGACTGGCCCACTCAGATGTGCTGCAAAAGCACTCGAGACAGACATGTGATTCATTCGATGCCCCAGAAATTAACTGCAAAGTTGGGACAGGGGTCTTCACAGTCACTGGGGCATCATAAAGACGAGACTTGCCCGTTCCTTCTCAGAACTGGACAGTAGCACGATCTGAGCATCTACCAGAAAGAGTTAATCTCTTGTACCTGGCTCATACATTTTACTGGACCCCCACTAAGCCACAGACTCAGGTTATAGCCCGCCTACCCCACCCCCGGCTGATTTACATGTTTTAAATAATTCAGTCCGAGCTTCATGTTTGGACAGAGGCTGGAAATCTGAGCTGTCTGGGTGAAATGCGGACGAGGGGTCAGTCTATCTGGAATCCATGCAAAAGGTAGTCAATTCTGACCAAAAGTTGTAATAAAATAAAAAGATTTGTACAAACCTGTCCACATGTTCTCAGAATATCCATTGGTGTCCTCATCACTGCAATTTCCTCTTGAAGTAGGACCAAGCACCAAGGCTTTCGAATGCCTTCGTGCTTTGTTTGTCTATTGCCCCGGCATCAAAATCAGGTTCATATTATTCAATTAGTTTCAATTTCAAAGTTTTTATTATTATTCCTATACATCAACACACTGTGCAACGTAAAGGTAGGGATTGTGATTCTGCAAGTCCCAGTGCATAGTACAGAGAAATAGAGGGAGCTGTAAAAAGTTAAGGGAAGGGAATTAAAAGTAACAGAAAACAGAAATTTATAAATAAATAAAAAATCAAAATAGAGTAAAGTTACCATATAAATAGAAAGTGGTTGGAAAGTGACAGCTCAGTCTGAAATAATGCAATAAGGATATTAATTTAAGCAGACAGTCATTTGTTTCAGTCTCCCCGACTAAGATCAGCCATGTCGCAGCATGTTTTGCTACTCAGCCTGTCTGAGGGGGCGTGTTCCTGCAAGAGAGTGGGGCCAATGCAGACCCTCCATAGGAATCAGTGCTCCTGGTTTCCTTGCTAGTGATATTAACAGCACTGTGCTGTGATAATGAGCTACACATTGTGTTTGAGTTAGCAGAAAGGCAACAAAATTCAGTATAAGGCAGTTAAACAGCACCGTCACAGGTGGGATTATCCTAATAAAAATGCATTTTTATTTTGAAACGGCTGAATACTAGAACATGTGTTTGTAAATAAACCTCCATTGCTGACACACATCTAAGAACAGCCTCTAACAGGGAAAAGTGGCCCCAGTGACCTGAACAAAGGCAATACGCAGGGAGGCCTCAGGTCATCACTGACCCACTGGCAGACCTTTACTGCAGATCATATCTCCAAAGCTTCATGGTGACTTTCCCTGTGTTTATTACCCCTGCCCTGCTCCTCTGACATCGTTTATGCTATAGTTTGCATAGAGTGTCTGATTATCAGCCTTGATGCTCAGAAAAGTGACACATAGCTATTTACCACTGGCAATCAGAATGGCATCCAAACACAAAGCTGACACAACTGCAAAGATTCTCCCAGAATGCAACAGGAAAAAAGAAAAAATATAACTGAGGACTAAAAAGCTAGTCTACCGCCGCGATCGAGGTGATGACCTTTCTGTTCATGAGCTGTTTCCCATAATATACACTATCAAAAGCACTGGGACACACCTCTCATCATCAAGGTCATTATGGTGTTTCATTCAGACCCATTGTCACAGTTGTATAAAATCAAACACCTACCCATGCAATCAGGTTTACAAACATTTGTGAAAGAATCGGTCGTTCTAAAGAGCTCAGTGAATTCAAGCGTGGTACTGTCACCTTTGCGTTAAGTCAGGGAATTTTTTTCCCTGTTAGGAACTGTAAGCAGGATTACTGCAAAGTGGAAGCATTTAGGAACAAAAGAAACTGAGCCATGAGGTTGCAGACTACGTAAAGTAACAGAGCGGGTCGCCAAGTGCTCTGTTGGAGCATAGTGTGGAAAAGTCGCCAAAGCTCTGTTGACTTAATAACTGTGGAGTTCCAAACTTCCTCTGGCATTAACCCCAGCCCAAAAACTGTGCACCAGGAGCTTCATGGAATGGGCTTCATGGAATGGGCTGCCAAGGTTGAACCAGAAGGAGGGATAATGGGGAGGGGGGATAAGGATGTAGGATTCTTTTTCAGAGGATGGGCTAGGCCCCTTAGTTACAGTGAAGGGAACTCTTAATGCTTCAGCATACCGAGACAATTTGGACAGCAACTTTGTGGGAATAGTATGGGAGAGACCCTTTTCTGTTCCAGCATGACTGTGCCCCAGTGCACAAAGCAAGGTCCATAAAGACATGGTTGGGTGAGTTTGGTGTAAAAGAACTTGACTGCCCCGCACAGAGTCCTGACCTTTGGGATGAACTAGAATGGAGATTGAAAGCCAGGCCTTCACGTCCAACATCAGTACCTGACCTCACAAATCCTCTTCTAGATGATTGGGCACAAATTCCCACAGATACTCTGCAAAATCTTGTGGAAAGTCTTCCCTGAAGAGTGGTAGCCATGCAAAGCTGGGACCAGTTCCATATTGATGTACAGTGGTACCTCAGTTCTCGAACTCATTAGAACTCGAATTTCTTAAAAGTCGAACCAACCACTTTGAAAAAAAATGACCTAGAACTTGATCTGAATCTCAGAAGTCAAACCGTGAACGCCAACCTAAGATAACTTGTACACGCGGGGAAATTAGTCACGGGGCACGTCTCTCAGTGGAAACAAAGGGTAACGCTTCAGTCTAAGCCTCGCATTCGCTGTGATAGCATCGTGCATGTTTACACTAGCTGATTACATATATTTAGACAGTAAAAATACACTGACAATGATAGACAGTAACAGTAATTATTATTATAGACTAATATTAATAATAAACCATTAATACTTTTAATTATAATAATATTGTCGTGCCAAGCGGGGACGGAACGGAGACAAAGACACAGACATCAGGGTATCGGGGAATATGGGGTTTAATTACAGGTAAGGCAGGCAAAACGCAGACGGACAATACAATGACTGGACTGGGGAAACAAACTGAAATGCGGACGAAATACAGAGGACTAATGACAACAACCAGAAACAGCTGATCACATGGGAATTCCACATGAGGTTAATGAGGGGGCGTGGCACACGGAAGAAGCAGACGATCGGGGCAGGACACATTGTTTGGATACATTTATTTTCTTACTTTACAAATTACTGTTTTGATAAATGTGCTTAGATTTGTTTAGAACAGTATATGCTCTTCTTGTTTTATCCGGTTCATAAGAACATAAGAACTATACAAACGAGAGGAGGCCATTCGGCCCATCGAGCTCGCTTGGGGAGAACTTAACTAATAGCTCAGAGTTGTTAAAATCTTATCTAGCTCTGATTTAAAGGAACCCAAGGATTCAGCTTGCACTACGTTATCAGGAAGACTATTCCATACTCTGACTACACGCTGTGTAAAGAAGTGCTTCCTTAAATCCAGTTTGAAATGTTCTCCCGCTAATTTCCACCTATGGCCATGAGTTCTTGTAATTGAACTAATGCTGAAATAACTATTGGGTTGAACAGCATCCAAACCTGTTAGAATCTTATAGACCTGGATCATGTCCCCCCTCAGTCTCCTTTGCTTGAGGCTGAAGAGATTTAGCTCAAATAACCTTTCCTCGTATGACATTCCTCTAAGACCAGGAATCATTCTTGTGGCCCTACGCTGCACCTTTTCTAAGGCTGCAATGTCCTTTTTAAGATATGGTGACCAAACCTGCACACAATATTCTAGGTGAGGTCTCACCAAGAAATTGTATAATCTTAGCATTACCTCGCTTGACTTAAACTCCACACACCTGGAGATATACCCCAACATCCTATTGGCCTTTTTTATTGCTTCCCCGCACTGGCGAGAATGAGACATGGAAGCATCAACATACACACCAAGGTCTTTCTCATAATCAGCTACCTTTATTTCAGTAGGTCCCATAAAATACCTGTACTTTATATTTCTGCTCCCTACATGGAGTACCTTACATTTGTCTATGTTAAATTTCATCTGCCAGGTATCAGCCCAGTCACTAATTAAATCAACGTCATTTTGTGTTTAAATGCTAAAAAAAAAAAACATACTTATATGTAATTTTTTGGGGCCAGGAACCAATTAATTGGTTTTCCATTATTTCTTATGGGGAAAATTCGATCACAACTCGAACTTTTTAGGATTCGATCCAGAGTCCTGAATGGATTAAATTCGAGTTCTGAGGTACCACTGTATATCGATTTAGTAGGGGGTGTCATAAAAGTTCCTGTGGGTGTAATGGCCAAGTGTCCCAATACTTTTGTCCATATAGTGTTTGTACAGTATATGTGAGGGTTGGATCTCCCAGGAGGGGCCAAATACAGATGCCAAACATACTCATTCACGTCACTGGTGCCTTATTCCCAGTTGCAGGGCTAATGTTTCCTACCCAGAAAATGCAAGTCAGTTCCCTTAGTACCACTGGCGCTTACCTGAGCAAGACGGTGACCCTAGAATTCTCAGTGAAAACACTGAAATTTCTAAAGCAAGTCACTTTGCTAAAAGCATCAAATCAACTGCCTACACACTGACTTCAGAGCTGCTCCACCAGTTCGCTGGGAGTTGGAGTCTTCAGTTAGGTCTGGTGCTGAGAGAAGTATGTGGATAGAACAGCAGGTGGCGCCATCCTTCGCTGTAAATCACTGGCCTGTTTCATCTGACTCCTCAGCCTGAACCAATCACTAACTGCCAGAAGTGATGTCGCCACTGGAATCCAGGTCTTGAATTAGCTGGTACAAGGAACAAGGAAGACAAAGAGTAAATACTGATGACATCTGTCCCACGTTCAAAGAGCAGGGGCTTTTTCTGCTTAATCAGCTCAACGGGCATTTCCTTGGAAACTAGTTTACCATCCATTTAAAAAAATGAAAAGAGGTGTTTTAAGATAAACCCTGAGAAGAGATACCCAGGAGAGGAGAGAGCTCATGCATGCAAAAGAACCTGCTGTTAACAAAATGAGCCCCTGGGGTTAGACATACCAACGTGTCTGCACAGAGATTCACTACAATATAACATGAATTTGGAAAATGAGATGCAATACAGAGAAACAGAGCGAACAGAAGGAACTGGGCGGTATCAGACAGCTAAGCTGAGCGCGTACCAGAAGTGCGTATAATCTTAGACATTTACGCGAACACACCAGAGCAGGTGTCACACGCACGGTGTTGCCCTACAAACTCATATAGATTCACACAATCCACACCTTTTTCATTCATTGCTAAATAGCAACAAAACACAGCTGTTGATTGGATGCTTTCCTAAAGACTTCACAATACCAGGCAGCTCTTTTCATAGAATAGAACACTGAAGGGGCAAGTGTTGACAGTGCGGTGTGACATTACTTATCCTAAAGAAGCACCAGCTAATCTAATGTGACACAGTGCAATGTAGTTTAGTGTGTTTGTTACGGCAATGTAAGATATATATAGTTGACATATATTCACTGAGGATGGCACTGTGGCACAGGGGGTGGGACAGGGAGTGGCACAGACACCTCATGCTGCCAGTTTGAGGGTTTGGGATCCCGCCTGTGCTCCCTGTGTGGAATTTGCACGTTCTCTCCACATCATGCTGCTTTCTGCTAGGTTCTCCAGTTTCCTGCTTTAGTCTACAGACATGCAGTTAGCGAACTGATGTGCCCAAACTCCCCATAATGTACATCTGAGTGTGTCCAGTGGGCCCGATAGCCCCACCAGATCAGCATGCTCAGATATTGTTGAAGGGCTCTCAGGCTTACTGGACGGCAGTTGCTGCAGGGCATTCTAGGATCACGTTGGACCTTGCCTCACACACACAAAGCCAAAGTGTCCCCCTCCTTCCTGGGGCACGCTGAGACCTGCCAAGCCAACAAACCTGCTTGGGCACTCCACGTAAACACCCCCCCCCATCAGCAGTACCTCAAACCCCAAGTAGGACATCTGCAACCAGAGGGTCCCCAAGTAGGACGCCCGCAACCAGAGGGTCCCCAAGCAGGACGGCCACATCCAGAGGGTCCCCAAGCAGGACGCCCGCATGCAGAGGGTCCCCAAGCAGGACATCCACAACCAGAGGGTCCCCAAGCAGGACGCCCGCAACCAGAGGGTCCCCAAGCAGGACGCCCGCAACCAGAGGGTCCCCAAGCAGGACATCTGCAACCAGAGGGTCCCCAAGCAGGACGTCCACAACCAGAGGGTCCCCAAGCAGGACGCCTTCACCCAGAGGGTCCCCAAGCAGGACGCCTTCACCCAGAGGGTCCCCAAGCAGGACGCCCGCAACCAGAGGGTCCCCAAGTAGGACATTTGCACCCAGAGGGTCCCCAAGTAGGACGCCCGCAACCAGAGGGTCCCCAAGCAGGACGCCCGCAACCAGACGGTCCCCAAGTAGGACGCCTGCAACCAGACGGTCCCCAAGCAGGATGCCCGCAACCAGAGGGTCCCCAAGCAGGACGCCCACATCCAGAGGGTCCCCAAGCAGGATGCCCGCAACCAGAGGGTCCCCAAGTAGGATATCTGCAACCAGAGGGTCCCCAAGCAGGACATCTGCAACCAAATGGTCCACAAGCAGGACATCTGCATGCAGAGGGTCCCCAAGCAGGACGCCTTCATCCAGAGGGTCCCCAAGCAGGACGCCTTCACCCAGAGGGTCCCCAAGCAGGACGCCCGCATCCAGAGGGTCCCCAAGCAGGACGCCCGCATCCAGAGGGTCCCCAAGCAGGACGCCCGCATCCAGAGGGTGTCGCATGGAATGTACAGCCTGTATTAAAATGTCCCGCCAGCACGTGATGCTCCAGTCTCACTTGCTCACAGTTTCCCTGGCCACCCTGCCCGCATCACTTGTGTAGTTAGGAATTTAATGAGCCAGCAGAATCAAAAGCCATTAATAAACAAGTTCTGGCCAATTGAGTATGACTGTATTCCCTCCCACTGAGATGGGTTATCAACATGCCCAGGTCAGCCATGGCTCGGAGTCAAGAGGCACAGTAACTTTCAGGAAAATGTAAAGGTCACAGCATGCATGCCTGCCGGTGGAGCCATTCACCCCACGACCCCCCTCTGCATGAGGTAAATCATTCACATAAGACAAAACCTTCTCAGAAAACCAATCAAACATGCCTCCTAATGCTAACCTCCCTCCCCCCTCAGTTCCAATGTTTTCAGCTTGTTGAGAGTTCAGAAAGCAGGTAGATCCCAAGACTGGCACCTGGAGCACACCTGTCACAGCCATCAGTGTCCTGTTTATCTACAGCAAATCTGAGAAAAGAGGAAATGGAGGAAACAGACCAATGTGTCTTATAATTAGCCAGTGTCACACAGCACACTTTATGTTGATATTATTTATACAGCATGTTTACTTTAGCATTCCCATGACAAGACTTTATATTATTCACTTACATGTAGTTAAAACACACAAGAGGGAGTAAAAGAAGGGAAGTAAGAGTGTTAATTGGTGTGAGAGTTTGTATTTGCAAGTCCCAGTATAACTGTGATGCAGAAGTATCTCCAGAAGACCCAGAGGTGCGGGACCTACATGTGGGCAGTGTCTGACTGAGACACTATGTGACTAACAATGACTCACACATACAGAATTCAGTAAATTCAGAATTCAGACTGGGGCA